TCCGTCGGTTTCTTCTTCCCCGCACCACTGAAGCTATCCCCTCCCGCACCGCCACCGGTTCTACACACGGCACCCTGCTCTTCTACCATCGCCGCTTCCCCTCCTCTTCTCCTCCGTCGCCGCTGCGTTGCTTCTCTTGCTTTACTCGCCAGCGTCGGATTCGGCCGCTCGGACCCTGGCGCTGCTCGCCACCGCCCGAGAAGATCCCGGTGGTCGGCGGCGGTTGGCGCGAGAGGGACCGGAGGATCTCGCCGCGGCGTGGCGTGCGGTGGCCGCGGAGCCAACGCGTCCAGGGAGACGCCGCTCGTCGCCGCGGCAGGTTCATCGAGGTCCACTACCTCCATTCTCTCCCTCTCTCAACTAGATTCTTCTCCACCGCCGGTCAGCTCGCCGCCGATCCGTCTCTGCGTGTCCGACAGTTGCATCACCGCCGTATTGAGGAGCTATCGGGCTCCGTCATCTTTGAGGTGGCGTTTGGATAATGGGTTATGCCTGGTGGGATAGGGAAATAGAGGTTGGTGGAATTGATTTCCCACGTTTGGTTCAAAGGATAGGGAAATAAAGAGAGATATGGAATGGGAAATTCCATCCGATCCAGAGGGGTGGGTTACCGTGGGTTATGGCTTCGGACGAACGGGACGCCCTCGTTGGGTTGCCGTCTCGCCTAAGCAGCAGGCTTCCTTCCCCCAACTCCGTCGCCTTGCGGAACGAAACCAGCAGCAGCTCGACAGTGCGCGAGGTCGACGCTGATAGCCGCCGCTGCCGCCGCCTCGATGCAGGCCACCAGACAGCCGGAGGCGCCGCTTTAGCAAAGAGGGGTGAGAGCATCTCGGACAGACTCCCTACATCCTTCCTAAATAAAATAAAAGGAATATATATTTTAATGAAAAACTACCCTTAATAGCTTTTCTAAATGGTCATCCAAGTATAGCCATCTTCTACTGGATTTTTCGCTAGCCAAAACTAGAAGACGAGAATAGCTCTCTAGAGTGCGCATGAGATATAGAAAAGCTGGTGGAAAGTGAAAAGATATATAAAGTGATTTTTATGCAAATGACTCTCTAAATGGTAATTTAGAAAGTGAGATTTAGAAAGACTCTTGGAGATGTGCCGAGGGGCTGGATTATGCGGGGCTGACAAGAAAAAATTCTCTTCATTGGGGGTGAGTCTGGAGGACTGCTGGAGCACCAAATTCCTCAAATTACAGTTTTTATTCTCATTGGGGATGAGTAAGGGGACTGCTGGAGATGCTCTTTGGAAAAAAATATGGCCAAAGATGTATATAGTAGAGATCACACCGATTTTCTTCAAATGATAAGTAGAAAAGAGAATGGATTGAGTAGCTCAAAGTTGTCGCTTTGATAAACAAAATGTACATTTAAATTAACTGCACGAGTACTCCTATATGTAAACTTTTTCCAAACTAATGCTAATGACACATAATCATTATCGTTGTCTAATCAAGCTAGCTGCACAATTTGATAATTTTATTATATATAGAGGCAGCCTTGCTCTGTTGCTCATAAATTGTTACACATGATAAACCTTGTCGTATACGCTATCAATCATCTGAAAGTAAGCATCCCTGAATTTTTCCTTGAACATCATGGTGCAAAACACCGTCCAAAGACCCATCACAAATCCCAAGCTCATACTGATGTAGAAAGATGATCCATCACATGTGGTGCCTTCATCTTCCTCATAACTATTTTTGCTTGCTTCATTCGTGGAGCAATTGTTGACAAGAGGAGGCCCACAAAGTCCAGGATTACCTATGTACATGTACTGGTCATTGAGTGTTTGCAGCTGTTTTCCTGAGGGGATCTGTCCCGATAAATTATTGTAGGATAGGTTCAAGCAACTTAGAAAAGTGAGATCTGATAAACTTGAGGGGATTTCACCACTCAAACCATTGTAAGATAGGTCGAGAGATTCTAGTTCCCTTAAACCACCGATGCCATCTGGAATTGGTCCACTCAATTGGTTACCAGATAGGTTCAAACTTTGTAGTCCCTTGAGTAAGGATATTTCTTTTGGGATCTGCCCAATGAAACTGTTGCAGGACAGGTCAACTAGAGTTACTGCTGAACCCTCGAATTTCAAGGTAAAGTGAAGCTCTTGATGTTTTGTAAACATTAATATGCTCTCTGGAAAATAATTAAGTCCACCTGGAATAGCCATGGTTTTCAAGTCCACCAGAGACGAAGGTATGTTTCCCGATAAGTTGTTGTGTGCTAAATCCAAATATTTAAGAGACTCTAGCTTCATCAACTCCTTTGGAAGATGACCACAGAACACATTCGATCTTAGAATGAACACTCCTAGTTCTGGCAGTTTTTCTGCTATCCATGTTGGCACACTTCCAGAGAATTTGTTAAATGACACATCTAGAAAGACTAATCGTTTAGCACTGCGAAGGTTATCAAGTAGCTCCCCAGACAAATGGTTATTCTTCAAGTCCAATACTTCCAACATAGAACCGAAGTGATTGAAAGAATAAGGATCAGATGCTGATGAGCCATTCTCCAAACATTGTGGAAAACCTCCCATTAGTTCATTATTTGATAGATCCAATTCTTTCAAGCTATACAGTTCACAAAAGTATGCTGGGATGTTGCCGGTGATATAGTTGTCAGAAATATACAATCTCTCTAGTTGAGGTGCTGTAACATATACTGGCAGCGTCCCTGACAAAGAATTGTTCGAGATATCTAATACTGATGCTGATTCTATTTCTAATTTTGCTGGTAAAGCCCCACTTATTTGATTGTTTGACAGGAACAAGCTGATGGCATTATGAAAAATAACCCAGAACCAGTCAGGCAAATGATCAATTATACTCGTGTTTGAAATATCAAGGTGAACTATCTCTGGAGTCCGTCTCAGCCATGCAGGAAATCGAGGCCCCAAGTCACATGATCTAAAAAACCCAATTGTTAATAATTGGAATGGAGGAACCCAATCTTCACCTAAACCCAATCTCAAAGAGTTGTCTTCAAGGTCCAAAGTATCCAAGTTCACCAGGCTTGCAAAATGTTCTTCGGAGAGCAAGCCACTGAGCTTATTTGAGCCAAGGTCCAGGTAAGTCAAGTTGCTAAGTGCTCCTATCCCAATAGGTACATGACCGACTAGCTCATTCGCAGATAGATCCAGGTAAACGAGACTCGACAAATTTCCTATCCAAACGGGTATCTCTCCAGTCAAATTTGCCCGGTAAAAGTTGAGCACACGCAGTTTACTCCATGAGCATTTTGGTAATCTTTCCATCAGTTTTGCTATGTCTCCATTTATATTGGTCTCCTCAAAGTTCAGTATCCGTAAATTACATAGACTTGCCAAGTTTCTGGGTATGTTGCCTGACAATTTATGGTTCTGGCTTAAGTCTATGACTTCGAGAGAGGACATATTGCCTAATGCATCAGGAATAAGCCCAGACCATTCAGAATTTGAGAGATGAAGTTCCTTAAGGCTGGTGAGACCCCAGAACCAGTTGTACTGGACTGAAAAGTTAAATGAGTTTCTTGACAGATCAAGGATCTCAATATGGGTGAGGTTGGAATGGGTCAGGGTTTTTTCAACTCTGCTGCTAAACCTGCAGTCTGACAATCGAACAACTCGAAGAGCGGGAAGCATGTTGAGCCACCGAACCCAGTCCGTTGCAGAACTGAGGTCTACTCCGCTCATATCAAGATGCCTTAGCAGAGAAAGATGATGCAACCACGAGAGATCTGGCGTGTTCAGATCGTTATTGCTGATGTCGAAACATCGCAACTGGGAGAGATTTCCAATACGAGAAGGAATTTCCCCTTGGAAATTTGTGTTTGAGAAGTTAATATACCTCAAACTCCTTAGAGCCCCCATGAACAGCGGAATGCGTGCTTGCTTGAAGTCGTTGTAGCTGAGGTCCAGGTACCTTAGATGCTTCAAAGAAACAATTGAGGAGGGCATCTCACCCGTCAACAAGCTCAATCGAGTATCCTGATTCATGCCGTAGGGCTGTGGGTTGCGCAGGTCGAGCTTGATGACATGACCGGTCCTATTGTGACACTGGATTCCCCTCCATTGGCAACAAGCTCGACCATGCCATGACGAAAGGCGATGAGAAGGATCCGACAGGCTTGCCTTGAAGGTGAGGAGCGCGGTCCACTCACTTGTCATGCAGCTTCCGCCAGCTGCTCTTCGCTCTCGCTCATGGGTGGAAGAAGAAGTGGATTGTGCATATTGTAAGATCAGGAGGATGAACACTGTTATAGCAGCTCCTTGGAGCCGGCGACGAGCAGTCATCATTTTCTTGTTAATCAAATTTGACAGCCGTCTCTACAATCATATTATCCTATAATAACCTTAGATGTAGCAGCTTATATACATCTTAAATAGGTGTGGATGCAGTGGCGAGTGGGCAACCTTGACTAGATTATGGGGTCCTCGATTTTTATGTATACTTGAAAATTTGGAATTGTTGAATTATTCATAACAAGACTCAGTCGCCCTTTTAATCTTGGCTTCGGTCGCGCATGTTACAATGGTTGCCTAATACATTTGACGGAGACTTGGCTAATCCATATGGACTATTTGATAAGTGGAAATTGTTGCAGAAACTACCGTACCTATGACCACTTCCGCCCGCAATACTAGCGGCTGCCGATCGGGTAGGGATCTTAGCAGCCGGACACAGGGAACATGGCATGTTCCAGGAACGTCGACAACATTTACGTTCCCATATTATGTTATAAAATATCATCTCAAGTTCCTGTTCCTGTTCTTCGTTTCTGTTCCTTTGTTGGAACATGGCTGCTAAGGTATAAGGATTGCAGATACCGATGCTTTGAAACACGCACGTCGCTAGCTGTTAGGATCTTTCGCTTTCTGTTTGTGACGGTCAACACGGTAGATGCACGTATAGAAGAATAGAAGGTACGATAAAGAGAGAAATTATTATTTATTATCTAAATCTATCTATCGATTATTTATTATCTGAATCTATCTACTATATCTATATAATAGTATTATAAACTCACGTTTGCTGAAAATATCTAAAAGTTACGAGATTTATTAGAAAAAAAAAAACATATACCCCTAGATTTTTGTGGTCACCCGATGGGATATATTTTACAAAACAACCCATATCAAATACTATTAACATGTAGAGAGAAATTTGGTCTTATAAAATACTTCATCCGTTTTAAATTATAAGTCATTCTAACTTTCTTAAAGAGTCAAATAAATCTCAAATTTGACTAAGTACTCCTCGGTTCAATTATAAGTCATTCTCCAACCTGACGAATCGCACCCTCCGCTCGCCGGGCCGATACATATCAAGTCCATCATATGTATTGGCCCATTGAGCATACGGGCCAAGGCCCAGCACTACCGATAGCCCCTGCTAGTCGGCTGCTACCCCGTGGGCGACGCGCAGCCGGCAGCCCAGCCAGACGCCCGCCGCCACCCGCAAGCCGCACGGCGCCCGTTTGCCGACGTCCCCCCGCGCGCGGCGAGCTCCACCACCTTCCGGCGGTATTTCGGCGGCGAGTCAGCCGTAAGTTTCTCCTCCTCTCCCCTCCCGTGGCCGTAGTCCCTTCATGTCCGGATGTCCCCTCTCCCGTGCCCCAACTCTTTGCTTGATTTTTCCCGGCCAAGAAGGAACTCAACTACTCAAGTAGTTCTAGTGCAGCTTCTGCAAGCGCTTTCACTAATATGTATTGGGCTTCCGGATGGAACTGTGAGCGGGAGGGGAAAAGAATTGGATCAGTGATCTGCTGATTTCCTCCGAGCTCTCCTCGACTCCTCCAACCCTAAAGCCTCGAGTCAAAGTCGATTACTTGAATATCCTTTCTTAATTTGATAAGTTAGACTAGACTTCAGCACTAAGCACTTGTATGTTCTTATTTCGATTTTGAGAATTGGATGCAGATGCTTGGCAGGCTTGGCATGGTTGTTGGAGTGCTGGCAATATGCAAACTTGGAGCAGAACAGTAAAATGCAAGAACGCAAGGCTGCCGCTGCTTTTAGAATTTTAATATGCCTTACTATTTATTCATTAAAACAACATATATGTGTATCGGGTTTTCTAGAAAAATGTCCTGCACATGTATCTAGATATGCTCAATATTAGATGAGATGTATGTATCTGTGTCCGTAAGCGTGCTGTATAGACAGTAGATTGCACTATGCATTTCTTTTTCATGTACCTTATTGCAAGTTGGCATACCCCGAAACCAAGCTTCCATTCTCTTTGAGCTTGGCTACCCTTTAGTCCATTATTGCAATTCAAGGGCCAAAGTAATCCTGCATTGCAGCACAAGGACTCCTGCAAACTAACTCACACAAACATGGATAGTTGAAGGAGAAAAATAAATGTGGTCCGTGGTTCCAGGCCTTCAGTGCACACAATTACCATCTCCTGGTCTCTTTCTTTCAAAGAAACGTTTTCCTGGTTAGATGGTGTCATTACACACTTGCCAGTGAAAAATCTTAATATTTCGGTCAGGGAACCTTGATCCTTCAGTTTTGTTCCATGTGGAGTAAATTCTTCAGATTAGCTTGTAAGACCTAGTTTTCATCATGCTCTGTTCTAGAGACCCTCCCCCTGTAATTTTGTTGTATTATTCCTATATGGCATTAAAATATGCAAGCATATGTATCAACTGTGCCAAACCTTATTATGACTATACTTTCTGATATTGGCTTTCCACTTGTATATGTGGGTACATGTATAATCACTAACATACTTTTTTGCATTTCTGTGTTCTGATTCCTGAATATCAAGTTGTTTCACTTCAATTTTTAATAGATCAGTTTTACTTTTCTATTGGCATTCAAAAAAATATAGGTGATATTTTAGAGAAAACTTTCATACATTTGCAGCTCCTGATTTACAGCACTATTTCGAATACAGTTTTATTAGCTCCTTTTTTCCCTTTAGTGTGTGTTCATTTAGTTTCTTATTATGCTAAGCCTTTTCTTTTTTACTATGAAGCAGGCTTTCTGGAATCAGATTTCTTGAGAACTGTCTGTTGCATAGCTAAACTAGGCTCTTGTTCATATTATGGATCAGCAACCTAAGATTGAGGCTGATTTTCTTGACCCAACATTACTCTTAGATGAGACACATTACCAGGAGGGGTATAAAAATGGCTATAATGATGGTTTGGCATCTGGAAAGGAAGAGGGAAGGCAGGTTGGTTTAAAGATGGGTTTCCAAGCTGGTGAAGAACTGGGATTCTTTCAGGGCTGTCTGGATGTGTGGACGTCTGCAATTCTCATTGATCAGAACGCCTTCTCAGCTCGGGTCAGGAAGAATATTGAGCAGCTAGCTGCACTGGTGGGCAGCTACCCGCTGTCTGATCCAGAGAATGAACAAATTCAAGACGTGATGGAGAAGATAAGGTTGAAATTCAGGGTCATCACTGCAAGCTTAGGGGTGAAGTTAGAGTATGAAGGTCACCCCACATCATCAAAGCAGGATGTTGAGGATCTGTGAGCGCGATGGACATTACATTTTAGTTTCTCTGTCTTTGCTGTCTTAAGCTCTCCGAATCTTGTCTTCAACTCATTGGGATCATGAGGAGCTACCCTGAGACAACAACGATCAGATTCAGATCATAATCACTTATATAGTTTTAACAATGTCTTAAGTTTTGTCTTATGACCTGCTGTCTGACGTCTGCCATATATTGTCCATGATCAGTCATTAGGGTTTCGCAAGAGATCCACTAGTATAGTACTTGTGTAACAATTCCCTTTTAGAACGCAAAAGCATTATTATGAATGGTCTTCCTTATCATTCTCTTTGGAGTACTCGCTGACTTATTGTATCCTACATGTTGGGAGCATATTTATCTCCTTGTAAAAACACACATCCCATATATTGCAAATCTGCATAGATCTACTTCTCATAAGTATGTTCATCCCATTCGCATGTGTAGAAAACCGGTGATAATCTCAAAGCTTGGACAGTGTGTTCGCCTTTGATTCCTCACTGCACCCATCTTAATTTTGTCCATCACTCTGCAAACTACACCTCCACACCCTCATTCCTGGCCACCTTCTAGTGGATGAGCCTCCTCTGATGACTTACTGCCCTCTTTATATGAATGAGTGGCATGTGGGTCTATTCCAAACCCCTGAAGTCACAGGACAGTAACTGAGAAATTTAGAGTAAAAGGACAGTAATTTAGAAATTCAGAGTAACCGGTTCTGTTATGATGGCTCTACTCTCCTCCGCATATAAAGGTTGCCTGGCACGGGAGCAGCTACCTGGACGCCTCCAAGCAAAACAGGCCTAAAGCCCGTGAAGTCAGTTTGGCCCTGTTCGCTGCTGAAATCTGGAGAAATTTGTGAGAGCGTGAACAGTAAAAACCAGTCGTGAACAGTGAATTTCGGCTGGTTTTTACACAGCCGAACGGCGCCAATGTGTTCTGGACTGCATTTAGGCCCAATATTTTACAATTTGGCCCATTTTTTAAAGAAAATTTACGTTTAGCCATCCGAAAGACGTAAACTCATCTTTGGAACCTGAGTGTCGACGTCAGGATTAATGGCGCTGAGGTAACACGTCTCAACATTACAGATCTTGGCTCCGAGGTTCCTGGCCGAGCACAACAGGGCATCCTAGATGGCGTTGACATGGCCGGTACCTCGGCGTCAAAATCCATGGCGCCGAGATCGGCGCCACATATCTTGGCGTCGAGCTCGACATCAAGATATGTGGCGCCGACCTCTAGCGCCACGCACTCTGGCGCCCTCCCTGGCTGCGTGGCGGGCACCTGGGCTACGTGCTGGTTCAGCAGAAGGGAGAGGGAGATGGGGGTGCCCCCGCCCCCGCCCCCACAGCCTAGGTGCCCGCCACTCAGCCAGGGAGGGCGCTAGAGTGCGTGGCGCCGAAGATCGGAGTCACAAATTTTGGCGCCAACCTAGATGCCAAGATATGTGGTACTGACCTCGGCGTCATATATTCTGGCGTTGAGATACCGGCCACATCAACGTCACATAGGATGTCTTGCTGCGCTTGGTCAGGCACCTTGAAACCAAGATCTGTGGCGCCGAGACGTGTTAGCTCGGTGCCATGAATCCTGACGCCGACCCCTAGTGTCCAAAGATGAGTTTACGTCTATCAGGGTGTTAAACGTAAATTTTCTTAAAAAAAATAGACCAAATTGTAAAATATTGGGCTAGAAATCATGCGCGGATGATCCTGTGTCGGGCCAGCACCAGCCTACGATACTTCAGCCAGCCGCTGCAGGCGAACAGGATCGGATTCTATACACATTGTGTATAGCCTGGTTGAGGAAATCATTCTCAAGAAAGGATAATGGCTATATCAACTTAGAATAGAGAAAAGGAAGTTCATAATACGTGGTAGGCCTAGATAGTACAGCGATTCATAAGAACTCGTGATAACCAAAGAAGACATGTCAACATCTCATTGATCTGATTTTATGTATATTGCAGTATATACGACGGACACCACGGGGCCCCACTTGGAGATACACAAAGGTGCTAGAACTCCTATTTATATAATGACTGCAGCATGCAATAGCTATATAACCCTTCTGTTCCAAGTCTGTCTTCTATTTCCATGTTCCTGCTGGTTGAATAGTCGCTGCAAGTGTGTAACAGGAAAAAACAATCAGAATATTTTTTTTTTTTTTTTTTAGCTATGGGCTCGTTCGGTTGGTTGAAAAACCAGCCGGATTTCACTGTGCGCGGATGAAAAATAATGTTCACTCTCAAACAAATTCCTCCCAGCGAAGAGGGCCATTATATGCCTATACTGAGTTTCAATTATGGGCAGTATACTTTAGGTTTACTCAATCAGAACTATGGAGATTGGAGAATAGGATAAGCGTGATACATTTGTCTCATGTGCAAGGGAACTTTGCTAATATCATGTGGAACCGAAAGTGATGATGGAGCTTAAGCTATAACCTGGTCTAGCCAGAGATGCTTTTTTTTATTACTTATTTACCTTTTTATTTTTCACTTGTTGGTTTAGAAAATTAGAAGGTTTCAAATAAAGATGAGTTGAGTTCCAATTGGGTTAAATTTTGGTAGGTCTTGGAGTACATTTTTTCTCTTACATAGAGATAACAAATTTAAACGAGCTTCTGTTACTGTTGTTCTATTTCTACTGCTGGGACCTTGAGATATGTGATGGACCCTGACCTGGCCTCGTTGTTGGAATTTACCGGTAAAGAGGGTGTTTTTGCTGTCCAGTCCAGGGTTTGACCCAGGGGAGCACGGTAGGTTGTCCTGCAAGAGCTCTTTCTTGCCAGTTCAGAATCCATATGAATCAGTATAAGCACAAAATAAAAGGAATAGATGTCTAAGCTATTACCTATGTGTATGCAAGATGTAGGGAAGTTCATCGCGAGGTAGCTTTATATCCCCTTTTCTGTAAATTTTTTTATAACGGGCCTTGAAGTTGGAGCTAACAACACTGATTGAAGATTTGTTTTGTTTGTCAGTCCAATCGTACAAGTATCATGCAGTGATAATTTTAGCGTAGCCGTAGCATAACTTTCTAATGTGTTGCACATGACAACTGAGGCTGTGAGGTGGACTAATGTGCTATGACAGTATCACTCGATTGAAAACATATTGACATTTTTTTTCTTTGGATTAGTTGCTTAAAGTAGTGCATAAAAGATACTAATCAATGTTAGGCATGCATTTCCACATTATACCATACTGCAGTTAAGATTCTTGTCTGAAGTTGAATGATCCTTACAGGTTTCTGGTCTAATTTATTCAGTTTTGCAAGGAACTTGTTCATTCTTATAAGCACATTATATATAAAACATCTGCACATTCGAGATATTCATCTAAAAGCTCAAAATTCATGATTTGAGATTATCTACCAAAAAAGGAACAAGATAAGCATTGCCAGATAATGACCTGCCTTATTTTCTTTGTAAACCCATACCTTTCTGAGCAAGAGCATAATCAGAAATCAGAAGTGCAAATACAATGTCGATGTCACTATCACTATTGTGGACCAGCTTGTAGAGTTCCACGTCGATATCAACGGTGCCATCGCGACTGATTCTTTCTGTTGATCAACTCCAGGTGCTGAATCAGTTTTGATTGATTGACATTCAGGTTGCGCTCTGCTCGCCAAGCAGGCGGCAAATTTCATGAACAATGGAAGCAATACCCGATCAAACCAAAGCCTCCAAGAAATGCCAGAGAGCAAGAACAGCTAGCACGCATCCTAACCTTGTCATGGGCCGGCTGCTTGGCAACGCTGTCTTCTTTTCGTCCCTTCTACTCTTCCTGAAGAGAGGAAAGGAACGCCACGGTTAAACAAATTTGGACCCAAGAACCATAAAAAAAGACACGATCTTGTGATAGGAGATTACTGCAACATGGGCTAACAAAGTTGCTCAATTAATTATAGGGTAGTTTAGATATGCTGAAAGCCTGAATATTTCCTCTGCCAAATGCATAGAAAAGAATACCTTATTGCATACGCCGCTTTTCTTATTTTTCCTGTTTTATCTTATAGCATAGTGAATAAAAGTAATTTCGAGAGTGAATGAAATGTAGCATTGGTACAAATTCTATTTTGATAAAATGGTAGTGTAACCAAAAATACCATTACAAATCCCAAACCAGGTTCAGATTACGCATGTTTGGGCTTAAGGTTAGAAATCGTTTCTAAACGATAACACTGAGCACTGCATAATTTAGAACTACGAAATCTCTCCCACTCAATCAATGCATATCTAGGAGCTAACTAATCATTTCGTCTCCCTTCTCCTTCCTGAAAATATTTGAATACAAATGCTTTCTAATAGCATTACAGTAAAGTCCATATGAGGAGAATAATCCTAAGCAATAGGAGAGGAGAGGGATAAATCACAGCATGGGACGGAGGCAAACCTGGGCCTCACCTTCACAGCTTGGATCAGTGCCAAATCTGGCGGTTGCCTCATTGCCTGGAGGAGGGGAGTGGTAGTCCATGGCTGCGGGAGAGCGAGGTACGGACGCCATGGATTTCGGCTGTAAATCACGGCGGCGTTCATCCAGCCGAGAACGACGCCACTTAGCCACCGCCATTGTCGACGCAATCCATGCCAACATCACTTGCGGCTAGCCATGGAGGAACGACTGAGCTCAAGGCGGGCGCAGACTGATGGATCCGGCATCTCGCACCCTGGCCCAATGCTGCGTCGTCTCGACAAAGGTCTGGCGGCGGCCGACATGGAGACAATGAGAAAGGTGGCCGGCAAGAAGAGGGAGAGGAAGCGCAGCCGCCGAGGACCCGAGGTAGCGGAAGCGACCGGATTGAGGGGATCCTGGGCGTGTGCTACAGGCGAGAGCTGACAGGGTCGCTGGGGCCTCATCCGACGCCGGGATGGCCTGGACCGGAGTAGTCAGGGCCGCCGCGCCAGCACCCCGCCTGCGCCGGGGCCGCTGGGGCCTCCACCCGCGCGCGGGAGGAGGGAGGTGCGGGGGTCGCCCGCGAGCGGTCTCCTCCTCACGGGCTACCACCGCCACCAAACCGCGCGCGGGAGGTGGTCGCGCGGGTGCGCGAGGGCCCTGGGCAGGCTCCATCGCCACCGGCCGCTCTTCCCCTGGCGGGAATCGGCAGTGCCGAGCGCGTGCTCTTCTCTGCTCCCGTGGGCAAGAAGGGGAAAATCTCGTTGGTGCAAGGTTCGCACGGACGCGCGCTAGACGGGCCGTGCGCATGGCCGGCGGCGCGGGTCCGGGTTGACGGCTTAGCGGGATAGCCAGGGTTGACGGTGCCCGCACCCCGCCCGCGCTGGGGCCGCTGGCCGCCGCCCGTGCCGGGAGGAGGCGGACGATGGTGGGAGGACTGGAGGAGAGAAACGCGCCGCGGACAGACCGAGAAGGCGCCCGCGAGCGGGTTCGCGAGGATTCGCGACCTCCCGGGTTGACGGCTTAACGGGTGTGAGACCCGCTACAACCCAGATCGGACGGTCCATATGGCGTGTTGGCTGGATCTGACGGCTGGAGGGTTTGCGGGCGACGTGGCCCTATCCGTTAGCCCGCTTTTGGTGCCGGAATCGTATTTAGAGACGTGGCTAGTTTTTTTTTTTTTTTGCGACTTTGGGATTCCGTTCATTCATCAAGGGTCATCAGGATTACAATCAACAGTGATCAGGTGATCGACACAGGACGGAGCTAATTGCCACTCTTCCATCCTATTGTCCCCTGAAACCTGCTTAGCTAAAGTATAGGCTACTCGGTTACATGATCTGCTAGAGTACAACAATTTGAAAGCAGAAAAACAAAGACTAAGCTCCCGAGATTCCCTGATAATAACCTGCGCGATCCGCGATCGTTGAACCATCCCTGCCGCCCATAGTTTCACAAGCTCTTGACTGTCGGTCTCCAGATGCAGCCTTTGTACGTACTCCTCTGCTCCTTGGGAAAATCAGGCCATCTCTCACCGCCAAGGCCTCCATTGTTAGCGCATCAAGGCCATGGCGGTACCACTGCGCTCGTCGTCCAATAAAACGCCATGGCGGTGCATGTGGCTAGCTAGGAGTATTGCTTGGTTGAATGTTGATCGACAACGACAACTTAACAACTACCCCTGCTGTTCGCTCATGAAATCAAATTTATCACGCATCCATGCATGTGGATCGATGTGGCGGCGCTGCACTGCAGCTGTGCAGCATGCTGGTATAGAAGAAAAGTGAGCCCCGACTCCGAGATGACGATGTGTCATAGAAAAGTTTATTCTGAACAATGTGTCATATGAAAGTACTCCTATATATTACTACCTCCTATCCTATCTACACCATACATTGCTAGCTCATGATATGGGCTTAGCGTCCACCGTTCCTTCAATTCTCAACGCTGCAGTGGTTGCATGCACCATGTGTCACCATGCATGTATACGTACTCTCTGTCACTCTGCAGGCTACACATACTCTCTACTAGCTATAACCAGGAGAGGAGCGAAGCAGCAGACGACGTGCTGTACAAACAGCTGTTGCAAGTGCAGCGAGCTCAGTTACTGCGACAACGTTATTCATCTTTAGCCAACAATAGACAGAATATCCAGCAGTACTGCTACAGCACTCGTACTGAAGCCAAGAACATGCGCAAGAACATGCGCGTGTATAAATGAGAGTACTGCAGCAGCGACGTTAGTTTGGACGCATTTAAAACGTTGGGCCAGCACGCAGCGGTACTAAGGGAATGTAATTAAGCACTATACATGCATATGGGGCAAATTATGGGAGACACGAGCTACTCCGTACTCCACAGGATTGCACGATCCAGCTTTTGCAATCTCTGATGGCATCCAAATGCTCCAGCTTTTATCACAACTTTTACAACCCCACAATCCAGCAGCTCGAAGATAGATAAAAGACAAAAAAGCCATTGCTATTTTCAGGATGTTACCCTGTTTGCCATCACCACCACGGTGGGGCCACATTGTCATACTTGTTTCCCTAACTCCCTAGATGGGCGTCGGGGTGCTGAGCCAGATATAGGTCGGTCACAGCAGCTTCTACAATTAATCCACGATCCAAACGATCACTTATTCACTACCGGATCCGCCCCCTTTGTCGACGGCCCGAAGCTGTCGGCAAAGGCAGTTCTGCCGTCGGCGAAGCCTTTGCCGACGGCCTACCACTCTGGTCGTCGGCAAAGCACCGTCGGCAAAGAATTGCTCGGCAAAGGCATCTTTGCCGACGGCCACATGGCAGACCGTCGGCAAAGCCTTTGCCGACGGCCACGCCAGCCCTCGGCAAAGACGCCACGCGCCGTCACCCTAACGGAGGCCTTTCTTGCCAGCCGTCGGTAAAGTTTTTCCTTTTTTGAAAATTCTTTGCCGACGAAACGTGGAAGGCCATCGAAAATTTTTTTTTTTTTTTTTTTTTTTAAATAAAAAAGACTTTCACGATCATCCACTCGGCAAAAAAATCCGGTCACTTTGCCGAGTGCCGGCCGGTCCCTGGCAAATGGCCGGCGTCTTTCAGCTTCTTGGCCGTCAAAAAGCTCAAAATTTTTTTGTTTTTTCTGCTTTTCTTGCATTTAAACCACATTTCATCACATATATACCATATAAACCACATTTCATCACATATATTCACAACAATATCACATATAAACCACATTTCAAAGATCAAATTCTGGCTTTCAACATGAATCCATACATGAAGGTCCTCAAATTCATCGATACATGTCCACAAGGTTTGGATAACATGTTCAACACGAATTCATACATGTCCAACATACACATAACATGTCCAATGTGCCACAACTTCATCGATACATGTCCGTAAGCGGGAAGAAAAGGTACCTAGCTCAGGTCGTGTCGTCCCGGGGGTCCCAGAGCCCCCACCTTGCTCGAAACAGAGACCAACCCATTGCGTGGCGTCTGTAGTGCCGATGGTGCGGCGCGAGGACGCTTATAGGCCCAGAGTGCCCTGCTGCGTCGGCGCTGGCCTAAGGGATTACCCTAACTGCGACGACGGTGGAGGAGGCCACATGTACCCTAACTGCAGGGGAAGGTCGGTCACTAGCCAACCTGCTGGAGGACCCAAGGGTCGGCACCAGAGTCGGGTTCGAACCACACGATGCCAGGCCAAGTGATGTAATTAGTACTGCAGGATGGCCGACAAGCTAAAGCAACAGTAATATACTCATCGGAATGTACATGAACTTCGAGGCAGAGGCTCCTGTGTTCCGGGATTTGGGACCGGAAGCCCGTCAGTCCGCTCAACCGACGCCGTGGTAGTGCGTCGATTCTGCTGCTGATCATGGGCCACCTCCTGCTGGCGCCGACGCAGCGCCTCTGGGCTACTGGTTGGCTGCTTGTTTGTGCAACTGGCTCTGCAATATTACACCCGCAAGGTTGATGGTATGTGAAGGCAAGGTACATCATGTGTGAAACAGTGAGCGACTTAATGAAAAGCGCACTTACCTAGAGTGCCATCATCATCTGCGTTTTACTTTCATTTGCGAGGCGCTATGGGGATTTCCGGCCCGCTCCTAGTCCTGCCTCTTCGGATCCGGCTCAGCGTCTAAACAGAGGACGGCTCGATGGCGTTGTTGGCAATAAAGTACCGGCCGTGCTGCTTCCCTCCTCCCACCCTCATCATGAGGTCAGTGTCTAGGGGGTCGGTGGTGGGGTCGAACGTCGGCCCATGGCGCTCGAGACCTGCGGCGGTGTACCGAGCGAGCTTGTTGTAGACGTTCGCGTTGGTGTATGCCTCGGGCCCCCCCGCGGGGTCGAGATTGTGGACTCATTGCCGCTTTGCCCTTGTGAGCAAGGGCGAACCCCGTGAACTCGTTGATTTGCTGCCCACCATGCGTCTCCGTCTGCGAGGAAAACACAAACATGGTTACAAGTAGTGACAATTGAGCGCTATAATAAATGGATCAACAGAAGCATACCCATCTGTCCATGTACACTGGGAGGCTCTGGTTCCCTTGGTGGTGTGGTACCCCTGGCGTCGCCAAGCGGCGCTCCCGACGTTCTCTGCGTTCCTTGTACGCCGCGTCCGTACGCCACCCACGCACAATTTGAAGATAGCAGTTCGGGTACCTGCTGCACCAGCTTGGACACTCCTGCATGACATTCAAGTATTTGATATTCCAGAAGATGAATTGAATGTGTCATGTAAGGAATCACAACGAATGTTTCCTACTTAATTACTCGCATGTACAAGCTCCTCGGTGAGGTCGGTCTCCTCTCCAAATATCAACTCCCCACGACTCATGGCTTCTTCACCACTGGCGAAACACGCCGGCGTAGTAGTGATGACGGCTTGCCTCGTGGTACATGTCCTTGAGACGCTCTTTGCAGACCGCCTCACGCACTCGCGCATAAACTTGTAGTACAATCGCACTGGACATCAAACATCATTTCATTGTTTGAAGAAAGTCCAACGAATGCGTAGTATTGAGATATGCGGTGCGATGCAAAGACTCACCTGAACTCCTCTTGATCTTCACCGCAAGGATTTCGCTGATGTCACGCCTTGACTCGGTAGAAGTGTTCCCATTTGTCAGGCACGATCTCCTTACCCCGATGGTGACCAAGCCGGGTAGTGCTTTCTAATCAAATAGAG